AAGTCCATGGTGGAAAGTTCTGATTGTACACGTTCATCCCTTCAGAGCATCCCGTTTGTGCAGGAGTCGGCAACCTGCGGATCCAGAGCCACTCGAGGGCTCTATGCAGACTGCTTCTTGACGTATGTTTGTATTTGCATGCATTGCGGCTCTTGAAATATATTGCATTTTCTACCGAATTTGAAAAAAATTTGGATGCCCTTGTTATTTTAGTTGCCGACCGCTGAGGTTAGTGGATCCCTTGAGTGGATCCCTTGAGTGGATCCACTGCTGGATGCTGGGCGTCTCCGTTGCGTGCACCTCCGGTAGGGTCACGTTGCCATGCCTGCCCGCGCTGGGCGCTGCTGCTCGGTGGAGGTGGGGAGCGTCGACGCTCCGCGTGCCGCCGTGCGGCCCCCCGCTGTGCCACACGACCCCCAACACCCTAATGTGCACGGCGGTCGCCCATCGAAGTACTAATCCGGGCTCAACTCTGCTTAGCTTCCGAGATCCGATGGCTCTGGGCACGTTCCGAGTTGCTCCATGGGTGTTGTTCATTGCGTTGCACCAATGGCGCGTTTCAACCATCGTCACGATCCGGGCAGCCCTTGGATCGGTTTGGCCGCTTTCTCCTGGGCCGGTTCCCAAATAGCAACGCAACTTGATTTTAATCTTGGCTTCACACTGAAGCGTCTTGTTCTGTCTGCTGTCACGGTTGTATCGAGTGGCGTCTTAATATTGTACTGGAAGCATTGACGTCGCTGTTGGCGCTCTGCGCTACAGACCTGGCGACCCGAGTTCGATTCCCGCTCACGGCCAACATCAGTGAGGAATATTTTAACTGGTCCTGGGTCTCCCCTAGGTGAACTTGGCCTGTTGCGGTGTGTCAACATCGCCACTGGGAAGACAAAGCTGGCTGGGTGTGTGCCGGCCTTCATTGATGCTGCTCGCTAACAGCACTTGTCCCAACAGTACGTTCAGGCTATACGGAGGTTCTTTCTCTTGTATGTGTGAGCAAGTGACCCTTTGAACTAAACCTTTGTAAAAACAAATATGTGTGTGAGAGGCATTAAGGATGAACTCACTTTGAGCCCACTTGCCCTCGTCCTGCTCGAAACCCTTCTTCAGATGGGTCTGGGTCAGAGCGCCAATGCGGCACTTGTAAGTGTTCTGGCCAGGCAGGGTAAACAGAGGGATGGGGTGGGGGGTTGAGTAATTCTAAGAAACGAAACGATAAAGGTCAAGAGCACAGGGGTCACCAGCGACGATGTCCGCAGAAGCCCAACGTCCATGCCCTCCCTCTCCGCGTCCTCCCTCTCCGCTCCCTCCCTCTCCGCGTCCTCCTGTGTTTGTTCGCCAGACTACAGCTCGGTGTCATCAAATTGCTGCTTTTTAGAGGACTTCGCTGCGTGCAATCCGATTGCTTGTCTGCGAGACCAACTGGGTGCAATCCGATTGCTTGTTCTTCTACTCGGCGAGTCCTGGCCTTAAACGCAATATTAAAAATGTCACTAGCCATGACCGAACCCGATTTTGTCGACCAGAACCCAGTTATGGAACTGCCAGGACGGCTCAGTTGTTGAAGCAGCAGGCTCGTGACCGCTTAATCCAGAGTTTGACCCCTTGTCAGGACCAAATCCATTCCATCAGTCGCTTGCAGTCGGTAAATCGAGTGCCAAGGCAAGAGTGCTCATCTCTGCCATAGGAACGTCGAGTTACCATTGGTAGACTCGTGATTGGCGAGCGTGCTTTATGTCCTTCTGGTGTCATCTTCATAGCTGAGGGTTCACGTCTGTGACATGCTTCAGCTGCGTCGCACGTGCATGAGCGTCCAGGCGTAAGAAATCAATTTTTGATAAGCGATCAGATTCCGTCGTGCTATTGAATAAGTAAAACGTAAAGAGAGGCTCATCTTGTCTGCCGCTTGTACTCTTGGAAAGGACACTATTAAACACACACGACTAACATTTAAAACGCGGTTTTGTACTCGTGTATCCCGATATACTGACTGTATTGACGTGTGTGGCTCTAGGGATGTGTATGTGTAGTGCTTAGTTGGTAATGGATTTATAAAGTTTTGCTATCTCACAATAAAAATGGTTATGTATTATTCATCGGAATGGGCTCTGTGTCTTGCCGGTGCACGTTAGTTCACAGCACGACGACCATGGCATTGATTTGAAGTTTGTCATTCCACTGCTGGATGAAGGCTTCCCTTGGCAGCCCTCGACCATCGCTCGCAGTATTGTAGTGCAACGACCCATCCAGCACTTGCGCACGAGCCAAGTTCACCGTTCCGTCTCTCCGCCAGGCACCCTTCTGGCGAGTTCCCTCGGGTTGCCGTCAGTCTCGAGCGCTGTCCCTCCCAGCGACGAGCCCACGCGGCGTCTCTGGCACGTGCTGCCCCCTCCATGTGGTGTAAATCCGTCTTGGATGCGGTAGCTACCGCGTCTGAGACAGCCTTTACGAACCCGCCGGTGAAGCCCACGGACACATGAAAGCATTGCATTGTAAAAGCAGAACTTTATTGTCAAAATCACCACGATATGTCATCACCTTAACACGAATCGTAAAACGCCAATAACACGTGATAATAATAGTACTATGGCAGTTGTGATGCTTTGAAACACTGAATGTGGCATTAAAATACAAAAGGGGCCCCGACTGGCACGTGTTGAGCAGCAGCGTGCCATGACACGGCAGGAGAGCCGTGACGTCGGGCGTGCAGCCTTGCGACAGCGGCCCACCCTTGCCAACTTGTGTTGCCCGCGCGCGGTGGGGAACGGTGGCGCAGCGGTTTGCACCCTGTGCTATGAACCTGGGGGCCCGAATTAGTTTACCACTTACGGCCACAAACACCAGTGACGATTTTCTGAACCGGTCCTGGGCCACCCCTAGGTCGACTCGGCCTCAAATGTGTAGCTGGTGTAATTTGTTAACATCGCCACTCGGGAGACCAAGGCGGCCAGGCGTAGTGCTGAACTACCGACCCCCTCGTGTGCCGTGCCGGCTTTCAGAAGTGCTCGCTAACAGCACTTGCCCCAAAGCTCCCCCGTAAGGCCACACGGGGGAGCTTTGTCTGTATCATGTGACGTGGTGTCAGGCGATTACGAGACAAGCTGAAGTCAACTCTTTGAAAAAACAAATAGGTGTTTAAAAAAAACACATTCGTCAATAACATTGTGGCCTTAAGAAGAAAAGTATACCACAGAAGACGTTTGGAGAAATGGCCCTTTTGCCCAGGACATAGAGAGGCTGTCACGGTAGAGAGTACTCATCCCACCGACCCGCTTTGTGATTGATTGTGACGCTACAGCGCTGTCACGGATCCTGAAGCATCATTTGGTCATTCAAGCCACGGCATCAGGTGTGTGTGTATTGTTACCAGTCACCGTTCAGTTTTCACTGCGAAATTAGCTTTATAATTCGCGTGCAGCACGAAGCGGAATAGCCCAGGTGAATAACCGGTTGATTGGCGGTCGAGGGAAGGCATTGATGATGACGACTAAAGTCAGCTCCAGCGCCGTTACCGTGGCGAGCCACCACAAGAGGGGCCCCCAACGCACCGCCTGCACGCTTGTCCTGCGCACCGATTCAAAACTCCTCGATCGCATCCACACGTTGCTTTCTCACGGTCCGAAGCACTCGGGGCCGGATCTTGTCCATTTCTATTCTCGGGTCGCCTCCTCTCGGGTCGTCCGTTTGCTGCTGTGCCTTTTTTTCCCCTCTCTGTTAACGTCTCCTCCCAAGGACTTCTCTCGCTGACGGCCGATTGGACGGATCCCGGTGACAGAGTGGCTGCCAAAGGAGGGGGAACGAAGCCCCAAGACGATGCCAACCACCGGCCCGTGCCCGCACCCTAGGATGGAGCGCCGAGATCGGCTCGTGCGCAGGAGACGGACCGTGGTATCGCGGGGACCACGAGGGCCACATCGCCCTCTCCACTCCGTTGTGGCCCAGGCTGGCGTTGAGCAAATAAAGTTTGTTCACAGTGGCGACCATGTGCAGCCTGGCTCTGGGCCCAAGTTGAGTGAGGAAGTTGACTCGGTTAACGTTCACAATGCTCGTTGCTTCCAGCCGTGCGACATAAAGCTCCGTAAACAATCCGGTAAAACACTCAGAACCCTCGCTAGATGCAACACAGAACCCTGGTCTTCGCTACAGCTTATTAATATTTGTTAACTCGGATTATACTGACATATTTGAATCATACAGCATAATCATAACCATACAGATAGCAAGAAAATACCTGGAGACACTGAAGTACACGCTTGCGCTCTGAGCGATTGGGATTTGCTCTTCACTCTTGACAGCAGTGTCCCGATAGCCTCACCCACGTTGTGTGTGTTGGCGCTTGTGAGAGGCGTTGTTGTTGTCATGCCGGGTGTGCAATGACGCGTCGGCTCCAACGCGCACTCGGGTTCCGCAAGGATTTGTTTGCTACCCACACCTCCACTCCCTGCCTTCACAAGCCCCTGCTGGCCAACGTGGTGAAGTACGGTCAAAATAACCACCCTGACCCATACGACATGGCCTCATCCAGCAGTAGACTGTCAAAACGGCTATGATAATCTGATTATTCTAACCCTCCTAATAATATACGATTACAGGTAATATGATTACTCAACGCACCACTCCATGAAAATGAAACAGGATGCAGAGCGGAACGCGTCCGACAGGAGGTTAACCAAGGAGATGGAGCGATGGAATCGGCTTATGCGTGGCTGTGAGTGTGGATCACTGCATCACATGATCGTGATAGCTGTTAGTTGCTTTCAGGGAGCCTCCATCTAACAGTGAATTGATAAAGTTAAACATCATGGGATAAGCACGGTTTATCTATTTGTAAAAATGGTGAAGCAATGTGGTGATGTCGATGATGATGACGGTGAGAACGAAATTACGAAAATAAACCTTTCTGGTTTCATCCTTATGCGAGTGACATTGCAAAACGAATGTAACACTTGTAAATCTCCTGTGCGTTATTTCACAGACGCTGCGTCTGGTTTACGCTTTGGTGGAAGGTCGATGTTCGGCAGAGAAATAGCCCAGAGCAGGAGAGCCACAGTGAAAGTGTGTCCATGATACTGTCACAGCCACGATCACAGGACCACCTCTGAGATCCCCTCCTTCACGTGACTTCCGGCCCACACGGTAGCGGGCAGCACCTTCCCAGCCCTTCTGCCAAATGAGGGTAATGTTTGTGGCGTGACTGGTCAAACCGATATTTTAATTGTCGGAGCTGGAATTCGGCTAAATTAAGTGCAAACCCAAAAGTAACATGGTGGTGTATTTTGTGTCGCCATTGATGGCCGGGCTGAGACCATCACGACTTAAGAGCCCTGGTTTAATATCAACTCAGCCTACGTGAATGTATAGGACTCTGGGAGTCGATGGGTCTCCACATGCAGTCCTCTACTGAAGAGCATCGAATAGTGTTCGTAAATCGGTATTGGAGTCTAGGTCTCCACCCATCGTTGGTGACCGGGCTTCGACCATCAACTCGCCACCCTTAAGAAACCCGGTTTAACCCCTAGCGGCCAAAACCCAGCTTTAAACCCAGTACCTCGGGGTCACCGGCTCGGCGCCGTGATCTCCGGGCCGCCCAGGCCACGGCCGAGTTACAGCGACGCGAGTCATCGACCGCGCGAGCAAAACCGAACGGATCCCCAACTCGGCAGCGCCCAGCTCCACTAGCACCGAGACGCCGATCCCCCCGCGGCAGCTCCACCGCTCGGGGCCCTCTCACTCCGCCAGCCCAGATCCACCAGCGACCACGGCCACACGGCCTTGGCTCGGGGCGAGCACCCTGGGGTCGCCCGTCCGGCCGGGGTCCGGGCTTGGAGTCGCCGCTCGCCCTCCCAGCTGCTGCTCCTCTTGCACAGCGAGCCCTCCCTTCCCGCCACGATCCACAGCGTCGCTCTCCTGCTCCTCCTCCTGCTGCCACTCCTCCTGCTGCCTCTCCTCCTGCTGCTCCTCCTGCTGCTGTTCCCCCTGCTGCTGTTTCTGCTGCTGCTTCTCCTGCCGCTCCTGCTGCTTCTCCTGACGCTGCTCCTCTCGCTGCCGCTCCTGCTGCTCCTCCTGTTGCTTCTGCTGCTGTGGACGATGGTGCTGATTATGATCTTGCAGACTCAGCTCCTGATGTTGATGTCTTTGGTGTATCTGCTGTTCCTCCTGCACTGGCTGCTGCTGTAGTTGACACTCCTGCTGCTGCTGCTGTGTCAGCAACAGCTGCTGTGTCAGCAACAGCTGCTGTGTCAGCAACAGCTGCTGCTCTTCCTCTTGCTTCAACTCCAGCTGCTGCTGTTCCTGGAAGGGCTGCTGCTCTGGTTGTTGGTGACACTGTTGTTGCCGCTGCTGCTGCTGCATCAGCGGCAACAACTGCTGCTCCTCCGGCTGCTGCTGCTGCTTGGTGGCGCCACCGGCCACCGTGCCCTTGCCCAGCTCCCTGCGCCGGCGGCACCAGATGCGCAGGCAGCCGTAGAGCAGGAAGGCAGCGATGAGCAGCAACAGCACGCTGCTCGACACCCAGATGGCGATCGCCATCTCCTTCTTCCGGTTGCCCAGGTCCGGGCCGGTCGTGTGGAACGCGACGCAGGCGCCCTGCTCGCCCCCATGCGGCGCTGGCTGCTGCCGCGCCAGATGCGGCTGCTGGGACGACCTCTGCTGCTGATGCTGCTGCTGCGGAGGCGCGAGCAGCAGCGGCGGGACGGGCGCACACGACACGCACGCGATGTAGCCGGTGAGCGGCGTCAGCCCCTCCAGTGCCACGCGGTGGCGGCCCGGCGCGACGCGCTCCTCGCGCTGCAGCCGGCGCGGGGACGTCCCCGCCAGCGGGCGCTCCCAGTCGGGGCGGTGGACGGCGCGGGGAGCCCAGCCCTGCGGGCAGCGCCATGACGGCGACCACCCCACGAAGGCCGCAGTGGCCGACACGTTGCTCGCGTAGAGCTCCATCGCTCCCGGGTGGGCGCTGGGGGACGCTGGTGGACGCCTGCAAGGGAGAGTCGCGGGCTCGGGTTAAGAGGTGTCCGAGCTGTCTCGCTGTCACAGACAATGCATCCAGCGATCTGTTGCCTCCTCGTCATGGCAATCGGATGAAGAGTGCGGCTTGTTGTCCACGCCCTTCTCACAGTGCAAGGCGATCGAACGCAAAGGCGCCGCATTTTATCTGCAGTCAATTACAGGGGTTGGGAATGCGTAGCAATGACCTGGAAACACATGTATGTTGAACTTCTTTCGCACTGTACATAGCCAACCGTGTTAATTGGAGATGCGGGGAAGGATAACAAACTAAACACAAAAGACAGTTCTGAAGAAATTCGTTTTCAATCGAGACTATTTGAAAGTGCACAGAGCTCTCAGCGGCTTCCTAATATCGGAAAAAAGAGCGTTCTGGACGGCCGCAGGAGTCCATCCGAAAGCACGCAATGCCGTGACCGTCTTTGTTCAATGGCCAGCCAGAAGCTGCTGTGAGGATGACCGGAGTGAAGATGGTTTATGCTTCTTGACGAGATCAGCGAGGTATTGTGTTAAATTTGTGGAAAGCACTTTGTGTGTAATGTGTGCAACCTTATAATGTGTTCGTTCGGCAATCAGAAGCCAATGCAGCTCAGCGAGCACTGAACGGACATGGTCGGATCTTGCAGTACCCGTCACGACACGTGCCAGAGAATTCTGTGCACACAGCTTGGTAATGTTTTTGCCAGATGTCCCGTATTGTAGTGAGTTGAAATAATCGAGCCATGTTGATACTATGCTAGACACCGCTGTGTAACGGGTTCCGGAGACACTTGTAGATGTAACTTCTTTATTACAATACAACACTCCAACAGTCCTGATACTCTGTTACAGCCTAGGTACACAGCCTAGCTACGCAGCCTAGATACTCTACTCTGGCTACGCTCGCCCTCACAAGGTCGTAGCGTCGGGAGTTCCAGAGTCCCAGCGCTGGCTCTCACAGCATCCCAGGGTCTTCAGATGGCTGGTCGTGGGTCTTGCGTCTTGAGTTACAACTGGGCCCCGATCGTCCAGGGAGCTCTCCTTTAATGCCTGGTCCGACGAGGGGTGGGGCCGTGTGCGTCACCAGACATCCCACAGAGCACACACAGCCCCCCCCCCCCCCCCCCCGTTGGCGGCGCCAAAAAGGCTTAAGCGCCTGGGAACCCAACGCCTGGTGCCCAAAGGCTTAAAAGCGTCTGGACCCCCTGGGAACCCAGTGCCTGGCGCCCAGAGGCTTACGCGTCTGGACCCACCTGGGAACCCAGAGCCTACAGCAGCCCCTCCCTTCTTATGTCACTACATTACCCCCCTCTACGTAGCCTCCAGCCGACCCGGCTGTCAAAAAAAAAATACAATTGTACAAGAAATTATTTGTTAACCATCAGAATGAGTGTGTGACAATCAAGAAAAAAAAATGAGAAGAAAGCGCCTCTCCCCCTCCTGTGGTCACCGATACAGAACAACACTGTATAAACACATATATGCAGGATGAACGCACGCCCCAATCGCCCACTATACATGATGGCAAGGTGAGTGGCATCGCGTTGGGACGAGAGTTCGTGGGCGGGGGTCATGAAAATCGTTTGAGTTTTGAGCGAGTCCGAGTGGCAGGTCCATCGGTCGCGACGGAGGCGGGAGGGGACCGACGACCCGCTGTTGCGCTTGTGTCCTGGGTCGCTGATCCCGCGGGCAAGCTTGTTCCCGCTTGGTCGGCCGTGGCGGATTTCATTCCCAAGGCACCTGAGGGCGGGTCAGCGGGACCTGCCCGAGAGTTAGAAGCAGCATCATCGCGGCGCGGCTCGTCAGACATGTCGCGCTCTCGGCCCCGGAGAAGTGAAGGAGGTGTGTAGGGTTGAATGTAAGGTTTTAGACGTGACGGGTGCACGAACCAACGTCGCTTGCCATGCTGGATCCTGACACACTGCGGGCAGAGAACGCGAATAATAACAACCGGGCCTCTCCAAGGCTTAAGCAGTTTTGAGGAAGTAGCCAATGGTACCTGCGGGCAGTGGAGCCAGGCGCGGTCCCCTTCCACCCAAACGTGGCGGGATGTGCGGAGATTCCGCAACCGTTCGTTGGCAAGCTGACGGGCTTCTGAGTTATTTTGAGCAGCCTCCCGGGCATCCATGAGACGACGCACATTAGCACGGACGTGGTCGGCAATCTTAGCCTTAGGTGCGGGCTGTTTAATGTGCAATTGTACGTCGATTGGGGGGCAAACCTCCCTACCATACATAAGATAGAATGGCGAGTACCCCGTGGCAGCATGGGGCGCCATTCTATAGGCGGCCAAGACACCAGGTATGTGGAGATCCCAATCAGTCTGTGACTCAGACACCTGGTGGCTTAGCATGGAGGTAAGTGTCCTATGTAATCGCTCGACCATACCGTCAGTCTGGGGGTGATATGGCGAGGTGCGAATTTTGTGTGTCCCTAGCAGGTTGCACACATCCCGCAACAGCGTGGAAGAGAAATTTTTCCCTTGGTCGGTCAGCAGACGTTCGGGAGCACCCTTGTCCAGGACGTAGCCCTGGAAAAAGGCCTCCGTAATGGCTGCTGCAGACTAGTTGGGGAGTGGCCAGGCCATGGCCCATCGGGTAAAATATTCGACCCCAACCAAAAGGTACTTACTACCCCGAGGAGTAGCGGGAAACGGACCCAAAATATCCAATGCGACGATCTCATTGACCCGGGAAACTTTAATGGATTGGAGCGGCGGGCAGGACGGCCTAGCAGGTGGTTTCCGCCATGCACATTCTGTGCAACCTTGCACAAGGTCAGCCACATCGTTTGCCATGCCCGGCCAGAAAAATTCCAATGGGATTTTAGCTAGTGTTTTCTGAACACCCAAGTGCAAGAGGCGACTGTGGGTTTCCCACACAAGTCGCCCCCGCAGGGAGGTGGGCACCACCAATGTGTGGGATTGGGACCCCCCATCCCAATGCATGAGGACGCCTTCCCGGATGACATATGATACGGGGCCCCCCTGCCCCCTGTGATCCTCGGCATCCCTAGCGCGGCGTCTCAATTTGAGGAGGGAGACGTCTTCCATCTGAAGACGTCCCCAGTCATCCAACCCGAGGCCCAGCAATGCGTCCTGCGGAACTTGCGTGGAGGGAGCCCCGTGGTCCCCGACCCCATCCCCGGCCGCGGCCGCAAGGGATGGGGGCGGTACCCCGTCAGGCTGCCTACAACGCCCCGCACCCAAAAAACAAGCACAGCGCCCATTGTTCGGCAGCCGCGACAACCCGTCGGCGTTCCCGTGTTGAATCCCCTTGCGGTAAATGACAGTGAACGCAAAGTCCTGGAGGATCTCGAGCCAACGCGAGAGCTGTCCAGATGGTTGGTCCACTCGCAAGGCGTATTGTAGCGCCGCATGGTCGGAGCGTACTGTGAAATGCCTGCCATACACGTATGGCCTGTACTGCTTTATGAAAAAAACGATAGCAAGCAATTCGCGGCGCGACACGCAGTAACGTTGCTCCGCGGGCGACAGCACCCTGCTGCCATAGGCGACGACGCGCTCCACTCCATTGACAATTTGCGACAGCACCCCTCCAATTCCGGTGTTGCTGGCGTCTGTATCCAGAATGAACGGAGTGGTAAAATCTGGATAAGACAGGGTAGGAGCATCGACCAGTGCTTTTCGGACGGCATTGAAAGATGCCTGTTCTAACTCTCCCCAGCGGAATTTGACCCCTTTGGCCGTTAATGCGTGGAGGGGCTTCGCGATGGATGCGAATCCCGCAACAAATCGTCGATAATATGAGGCGAAGCCGATAAAACTCCGCACCTCCCCAACAGAGGTAGGAGTTGGCCATGAGCGCCCGCAATTTGTCTTTTCGGGGTCCGTGGCAATTCCCGAGCGGCTGACAATATGGCCCAAATAACGAACCGAATCCCTCATGAGGTGGCACTTTTGCGGTTTGAATTTGAGGTTAGCCGTTCGCATTTTAAGGAAAACTGCCTTCAATCGCGTGAGGTGTTCATCAAAAGTTTTGCTGAACACGATTACATCATCGAGGTAGATTAGGCAAGAATCCCACTGGAGCCCAGCGAGGACCAGCTCCATCAGGCGCTGGAACGTTGCCGGGGCCGAGTGAAGACCCATGGGAAGTCTGTTGAATTGGAACAGTCCCTGCGGCGTGCGAAAGGCCGTCTTTGGTTTGGATGCGTCATCAAGGGGTAGCTGCCAAAACCCCGAGAGGAGATCCAAGGTGGAGAAGTAATGCGCACCTGCTAAGGCATCGAGCGACTCGTCCATCCTGGGAAGCGGGTAGGCGTCGGCCACAGAAATCTTATTAAGTTTCCTGAAGTCAACACAAAAGCGGAGGCTCCCGTCGTGCTTCTTAACAAGAACGATCGGCGCCCCCCATGGGCTATTTGATGGCGCAATGACATCGGCCGCCAACATATCGTTGACGGCCACCCGTACATGTTCCTTTTCGGCCGGGCTCAACCGGAATGGGTTTTGACGAATTGGAGCGGCATCACCCGTGTCGATGTGGTGGCTTAGCAATTTAGTGCAGCCAATGTCGAATTTGCTTTGACTGAAAACGTCGGCGAAATCGCTCAGCAGCGTGCGTAATTTAGCATGCTGTAATGGTGACAAATCGGCAGAAGTGGAGCAAAGCGCGTCGAGCCATCCTGTGTCAGGACCTGGCTTGGCAACGGAAGAGAACTCGCCCCCTACGTGACCCACGATCACATCTTCTGGCGGGGCTGGCGTCGCGTGAGCAAGCACCATTCCCTGACAGATAACGGCCGTTTCCAATCCCGCGTTAAGGACCTGGATAAAGGGGTCGTGGTCGCTTCGCACGAGCGTTTGTGCACACACGAGGTCCGGCACCCGCTCAGCTGAACGCGAAGGCCCGATCACAGCACCCCCCATGAACGCGTCATAATCAAGGGGTTTACGAAACCGGAGGGGAACTAACATCAGAGCCAGGAGGAATGTGAATTGTGCACGCCGCCAACGCCTGCACCGTTGTA